ATGCTGGCTGGGGAATTCTGGGAGTTGAAATCCACACTTTTTAAAGTTGCCAAACTTGAGAAACACTGTTTTAGAGCAAGTTTTTATCAGCTCCCTTAAGATGATTGGTTCTAATGGGGGGAATATCCAACATTATCCAAGTTGCATGCTGACAGGCAAGGCACACACCAACATTTAGACTGGCATTCTAGCACTAACCTGGTTGCCGTGCCCAACTAGGAATCGTAGGCAGATACCTTCCTCCATGCCAGTAGACCTATAGAACATCTCCGGATAATCATTTATCTACAAGGCTTCAATCAAGAAGCAGTACCCGGAGCCATGTTCTTTGCGAGTTTATTTCACATTTCCCTCTGCCAGAAAAGCACTGGAGATTTGTGGTGCTTTCTGGCCCATACAATTCTTTACAAAGGGACTTTTAGTCAAGTCAGATCATATCCCTCTGCAAAACACGGTCGGCTTAACGAGAAGCAGGACGAATTTTGGAGGGTCGCTTCCTGCAGCTTCCTGCAGAAGCAACATTTGTTTTTTTCAGCGCTCGCTATTTCATCACGCCAAGCTGGGTCTCATTCACGCTGTCCCCGCTTGACCAAGGATGCGGCCCCATGAATAGCAGCCTCCAAACCATCTGCTGAAAGATATTACAGGGGCTACTAGAGGAAAACATGGCTAAAGTAGGAGAAAGGGCCATGAAGCAACCATAATAGCTGAAATTCTCACTTAGATTCAAAGCTTATTAACGGTAACACTAACCCAATTTGTTTTAACCCGGATATGTTGAATGAGCCACAACGGTTGGGTGCATGCAACCCGTTGGCCAATCCCAAACATGATGGCTCAGGAGGAAGAGTGAACCAAGTCAGTTCCTGGCTAGATCTTCCATCCAGCTACAGAGCATAGCACCCTCAGCGGTCCTTCAGCCGTATCCTTTCCAACCTCAAGGCAACATCTCTTGCAAAATAGTTTCGTAAGAGGCTAAACGTACAAAAGCAAAGAGGCTACCTTATATCCTTGGGTGGCAACGGATCAAATTCCACTCCTTCGCCAAAAGAGAGCGGGCAGAGCCGCAGAGGGTTGGGAGAAGGCAAGGTCTCCTGCAAAGTGCCAAAAAGAAGGAGGCCTTTTAAGCACAAAGAAATGTGAAAAAACATACTAAGAGGAACAAAATCATGTCTAACCCAAGAGCAAGGAAAACGCAGCCAAGTATCAGATCCTTTTCTCCAGTGATTATTACAAAGCGTTAAACCTGCTTGCTGTTCTTGGAACCCAGATCAGTGTTTCTCAAACTCAGCAACTTTCAGATGTGTGTATGCTGGCAAGGGAATTCTGGGAGTTGGAGGCCGCAGATCTTAAAGAAGGCAGGCTGGAAAATTCTGGGAGTTCGAGGCCATCCATCTTAAAGTATGTTGGCTGGGGAATTCTGGGAGCGGAAGTCCACCCATCTTAAAGCTTCTGCCTTTTAATAAAACGTCTTAGCGGGAAAAGGCGCTACCAGACTCCTGATTTTTGCAAAAACATTAGCCCCCTCTTCAATAAGGTGAGCCCTGGAAGAACAAAATAAGAACAAAATATAATTTAAATCCGACACCCGTCTAGCCACTGCATCGCATCTGACGAAGTGAGCTACAGCTCACGAAAGCTTCTGCCTTTGCCTAAAACATGTTACTTGGAAAAGAGGTTGCCAAACTCCTCCTGATCTTTGCCAAGCCATTAGGAATCTGTTCCAGAAAGGCCACAGGTGAGCAAAATAATAAGCTATGCTTTAAACCCTACACCTGTCCAGCCCCTGCTGTCTGATGAAGCGAGCTGCAGCTCATGAAAACATCCTTTTCATAAAATATGCTGGTCTGAAAAGATGCTACCAGATTCCTGCTAATTTTTGGCTCTGATAGACCAACCCAGGCATCCTCCTCCTACATCTACAAGGAGGACGGTTTTGGGTTCACCTAGCAAATTGCTATTCCATAATTTTCTGCACTACCTTCACCCACCTTGCTGCTGAAAGATCCTTTCAGTGGCTCCCCGGTCAACCCTGCCCAACCCCAGCTGCATAGCCACCCCTAAACTTTGCTGGCCTTCCTTGCACAGTTCCTCAGAGCCTCCTTCCAACTGAATTGTAGGGCCGGAGGTAGATCGGCTGATTTTTATCCTCTCTTCTGTGCCCTCTGCCAGCCCCCAAACGGGCAACGGGATTGTACTGAAATGGCAGTTTTTCATCACTGGAGAAACAGGAACTTTTTGGCAGGGCTGAGATGTGGCTAACTTTGGCCACCATTCCCACAGAAACTAAAATGGTTTCTACGCGGCTTGAAGGCTGGATCGAATTAAGGGCTGGGAGTGGTTAGGAATCGGTTCCAACGCTTTCTGCGCCAAGACAGTAGCTGTTTCTGTTGCATCTTTGTGGGAGTTGGGTCTGCCCAACATTTTGGACGCGAGTTCATAATTCACTCATTGCTCACTAGGCAACTTTTAGCTTAGCTGAAGCTGCTTGGGATCATGCTTGCAACAACAAGGAACGATTGTGGGCCAGCCTCACGGGAAAGCTGGGAAGCTACTATTAGGCACACTGGAAAATGCAAACGGCAAGGGATGCTACAGTGCGGTTTTCTGGTTCCAGAAACAGGATTAGAGGCAGCCGTCTGTCAAGTTGCATGTTGAGTTTTGCTGTCATGTCACGACCCACGACATCCAAGTAAACATGCTGGGCAGTTGGGCCAATTGCTTTGGGTACAGCAGACCCCAGTATCTCTGGATGGTACTGGAATAGCTCATCTCCCATCATACACACCTTTTTGCAATCTGGTGTCTTCCACACGTGTTGGGACTAACTTCTGGAATCCCCCAACCACCTTGCAGTTCATTGTTTAGGTGGTTCAAAGGGCAGTTGGTCTAGATCAGTGTTCCTCAAACTCAGCAACTTTCAGATGTGTGGACTCCCAGAATTCCCCAGCTTTAACCCGCTTTAAGACGAGTGGCCTCCAACTCCCAGAATTCTCCCAGAAGAGGCGCTGCCAGACTCCTTCCAAAAACCTTTCCCCTCTGTGACAACACGGCCGGCTCCTTTTTCCTTGCCTGCGTTCCGCCCCTGCGCAATAAACTGAATGTGATTTTTCAAGGACTGAATTCTAGCCAAGCGGGAAGGCAGGTTCCCTCTGCAGCTCTCTAGCAATGAGCCCCGTGCCACGTTCTCATCCGCTTCCCAAAAGGTGCTTTTGGGCACTCTTGAAAGCAGGTCTCTCTTTCCCCCCCATCCCAGGGCAGGGGGCCACTAACCCCATCCTGGGGAAAGACGGGGCTTCTTTAAAAAGTTGGCAATGGGCTCTCTTTGCAAACCTGCAGGCTCTGAAGCCCCTTTTCTAGAACTGAATCCGAAGCATTGCACAGCCCTTTTGATTAAGCTTTTTTGGGGTTTGTGCCTTCAAGTCTGTGTGTTGACTCCTGGCGACTGCCTGGACTAGTCCCTGCAGTTTTCTGGGCAAGGTTTCTCAGAAGTGGGTTTGCCCTTGCCTCCTTCCTAGGGCTGAGAGAGAGGGACTGGCCCAAGGTCACCCAGCTGGCTTCGTGCCCAAGGCAAGATTGGAACTCGCAGTCTCCCAGTTTCTAGCCTGTGCCTTTACCCCTACACCAAACTGGCTCTCCAATGAACCTTTAGCTCGCCATAATGCCATTTAGCCCCAATTCAACACCCTTCGGCTCGTGGGCACTCAAGCTACCCCCTCCACTGCGAAATCGGAAACCCAAGGAGGTCCATGTCACCTTCCTCTCGACTCTGCTGTTGTAATCCAGAGCAATAACGGGGGTAGGAAAGGAAGTGGCTACAACTGAATTTCGTGTATCTTTCCTCCCCCCCATTACAGATCTGCTGTTCTGGTTGCAACACCCCCAAGCTCCCCTGCCCCCCGCCCTTGCTGCTCATCTCTAAATCCTGTTACGCATGTTGGGGACACAGCAGCTGCCTAACAAATGTTGCCTTGAAAACCACAACAGCTGGGAAGGGACAGGGCAATCGCAAACATCTCATTGCCCGGGAAGGGGGATCACATGGCTGGGGGTGGCCAAGGGAGAAGAACGGAGGCCGAGGCTCAGGGTCTGAGACTGCACCCCCTCCCACCCCACCCCACCTGGTACCTATTCCCAGAAGAGAATTTGGAAAGGCTGCACTTGCTTCACTGATGCACCAAAAAAGTTTTCGGTTCTTATGCAAAGAGGCCCACCGA